CATTTTTTTTTTTTTTTTTTTTTTTTTTAAAATTTCAGGGTATTATAAATATGGGGGTTTTCCCAGTAGTTCTAATAGTTGCTAATACTGCTTTACCAACAAAAATAGTTCTGACTATTAGCTTTCCAAGTTGGCTACTTGTCAAATTAAACATACCCTAAAACTAATGTAATGATACTCTAATGAGAAAGGGACCATCAAAATAAAGTGATTTTTTTTCTCATCCTTTCGCGATACATTATGGTTTCAGTTGTTCGTAAGTTTTTACATATCACAAGTAACACACTAGAACTTGTTTTGGATGGAAGCAGATTTACAGTAGCCATTGCATCAAAGCATTAGTAACATAGACAGCCCCTAAAACTGGGAGCAGCCATACATGAGGTATTTTCTTTGAGAGACTCTGGATTAAGAATTTCTGGATAAACAGATTAACCTTATCAGATTTTCTAATGCAACACCTGCAGCATCATTTCAATTCAAATAGCTTTCACAAATAAGTGCACAGCCATATCTTTAAAGAACGCTCAGGTGACCTTTAAATCCCTCTATTGTGCTACTGGGAAATTTTTCATTTTTTGAATTGCCCAAAAACCCTTGTATGGTTCCGGTTTTCAATTGGCACAATTTGAAATGTAAAATAATACAACTAGTGATAGAAAAAAGTTGGCTAAAAATGTTAGTAACAATTAATACTGGAACTACCAGAACTGTAAAATTACAAGAATTATCATTCTGACTGATGCCATATTGTCATGTCATATTTACAGTCAAAGCTTCAAGAAAAGTAGCAGACACTAAAATGCTTGTGGTCATTTTGATAAAAGGTAAAAATACTCATACGTAGCTCTTTTGTAATGTTAATAAAATAACAGTGTTAGAAAGAAATATACACATATTTTGGAAAAGTCAGGGAATTAATGATGTGTTTTTTTTTTTTTTCAACAAAGCTATTAAATTGCAAAACTGAGTAGTTCTAGTGTTAAGCTGCTTGTTTATCGCGCTTTCTCAGACCATTCAGGTATCAGCAGTGTGTATGTTACTGTATGTGTTGGTAATAATGGCACAGCTTTCTTAGAACACCACCTGAGATGATGATAATAATAATACGTAATTAGAAATAAAAATCTGAGATAGTATGAAGTACTAGGTAATAGGTACAGAATGCACTGGAATAAAAATCCAAATGGTTGACCGTACTGACCCATACCGAAAACGTCATGATTATGAGTCTCGATTTGTGCTGCAACAATCAGATGGCAGAGCCAGAATTTGACATGAAAAGCATGGACTCATCCTGCCTTTAATCAATGGTTGATGTTGGTGCTGGTGGTGAAATGCTGTTAGGGTATTTTTTTAACCCTTAGAACCATCATTTATACACCAGGTTATTGTTGTTGACCATGTCCATGTCTTTAGATCTACAACGATTGATTTAGCAGAAGCTTTTATCAGAAGCGACTTGTAAATGAGGGTTAAAAAAAACACTTCGTCATTGTACATAATGTCACACTAGTTTTTTGAACATGACAGAGAGTTCACTAAACTCAGATGTCCTCCACAGTCACCAGATCTTAATCCAGCAGAGCACCTTTGGCATGTGAATGAATGGGAGATTTGTGTCATGAAGACGCAGCATTTTTATTCTCCCAGAAAAGAAGTAATCAAAGAATTCTGCGAACTACAGTTTGAGTTGTAAGCATATAAAATGAGAACTTGATTGATTCACATTTGCCCTACGGAAAGTAATAGTAGATGCACATTTCGGAAAATGACATCAGGCAAAAGCAAATATGAATAAAATGATTGAGTGAATTGCCATGTTTCCCTCCAGCTAACGGACAGCTAATAAACAGTTCAGAAAGAAAACAATGCTACTGTTTTGTACATAAAACTGAACTCTTGAATGAAGAGGATCATGGTTTGTACCTCTTTTTTTTTATTCATCCATCAGGAAATCCTACATTTCCAAAGCATCTGGTGAGAAAAAAAACAATATAATATTTCAATGAGATTCTTTTAGATTTTCCTAGAGGCCCCAAACCAGCTCTACTGGAAAGTGTTTGACTGATGATAAGTAACGGAAATGGACTCAGCTTTTAAAGGAAATTTAAGAGGCCTGTGTTTGTTGAGCGAGAAAAAAGTGTTGCTTTTGGAAGCAGTATGTTGGCACTCTTCATAGAGAAAGTGACTGCAGAAATAGACTTAATTTGTGCTATATCCTCTAAGGATTTTCAGATGTTAAATGAAGATGACAAAATCCGTATTCACTCGTGACTGAAATGTCGAAGTACATTTAGTGTGCTGCAGCTGTCTGTGAGTGCTATATTACTGGCACATTAAAAATGCAAATGCATTTTACACATATTTAGCCTTTATTATGTTCCAATGCTATAGTCAGTTTCATAATGAACTGGATGAAATAACATCAGCTAAAAATGAATATTTCAAGAGGCAGAGCAATTAGGGGTAAGATTAGGAAGTGCACACAAAGAGAGTCAAGTTTGATTTTATGATCACTTTAAAGTGGCTCTATTATGGTGTTTAAAAAATGGCTAGGTTTTGTTTGAGAGTTGTCAAATAATTGGATATACATCCATCCAATTAATAATAATATTAATAATAATAATAATAATGATAAAACATATACATTTTCTCACACTGTACATTGCAGCATCACTGATTAACCTGTCTGAAATGATTAGTCTAAGAATCTGGTCTGTCTAAACCCCACCCCTACTCTTTGCTGATTGGTTATGATTGGACTTATGTGTAATGCAAACCAAATGTCCATTACCATATGTCTATTTCAGCTTTTAAATCCAATGATTTGAACAGTAAAGATGGCGTTACTTTTACTGTATCAATTCAATAGAGACTAGAGATATTTCAATAAAAAAATATCAGTTTAGGTATCTCTAATATAAAGATATAATTCGTCATAGTTTTCAATTCAATTTGTCAGATTACTATAATATTATGTACTCATCCTCGCATAGTTTCAAACCTATACCATTTTCATTCATCTTTGAGGTAGGGGTGTGCGATATGGTAATTTTTGACAGCGACGATTAAAAGTTCTCCTTGATCTGCTTTTAAAGAAATATCGTTGTATCGTGCATGAGCCATTGCAATACTGGCACCTCTGTCTTAATATCAGTTATTGTACAACATGACATGACTTCACATCCAATATTAACTCAGTCATAGAGTTACAGTCGTGAGACCTGATCATATTGACTAACGTATCTTAGTTTCATTTGTTTTAAAGCCTTGCCGGTTAAACATTAACAGCAAATGTGACTCCACTTTTTTTCCCCAGACTGGTTACTCATTAAAGCTAAGCAGGGCTGAGCCTGGATGGAAAACCACATGGGAAGTTAATGGGGCCAGCAGGGGGCACTTAACCTGTGGTCTGTTTGAGTCCTAATGCCCCAGTATAGTGAAGGGGACACTTTACTGTTAAGTGAGTGCGTTTTTTTGGATGAGACTGTTAACAGAGGTCTTGACTCTATGTGGTCATAAAAAATCCCATGACACTTCTTGTAAAGAGTGCACTGGTTCCATTTTCCTGTGGCTGTCGTCACATCATCAATGTGGATGCTGCATACTGGTGGTGGAGTGGTGAGCACCAAATCCATCACACTGAAACCATACAAGATTTATATATAAACACATTTGGTTTCTGTGTCGACATTTGTGCTGGTTTTAAAGGGCCAACAGACTTATTAGACTCAACATGCTGCCGCTAAAGGATAATTCCTCCCAAAATGTGTATTCTGTCAATACTTGCTCACTCTGATGATGTCTCCCTAATTTGTATACATTCATTGATGTTAATAAAACAACAAAACATTTGAAAGAATTGTACAAAAAGTTTGATTTTCCTGGAAAAAAAATGTGATGCATTATTTTTGCTATATCAACCACACTAACAGGCATGGTTTCCGCTACATTCATTCTTCCATGGCGAGGCACCACACCAGAATAAATCCCGCCACAGCTACATAATAGCTTCTCATTCAAAACATTTTTTTTAATAGCGGGTGATAATAACACTAAAATGTATTAAAGGGTAAGTGAATTATAACAGCACAAACTTTTCTTTAACCATAGTGATGTGCGTCATTTGTTTAACCTTTTAGGGTTACGTGCTGACTGACTGACAGGTGCTTGATGTGTAAGGCCAGCAAAAGACGTATAGCCGTTTCACTTTACTTCAGGGTGCATTAATGCTGCTCTGCAGGTCTATTGAAGACATTCATAAATATTCCAAGCAAATCTAATAAATGCTGGAGACATACTCGTTACATAAACGCACTAAAACACACTTCAGCAGTGTTTATTTGAGAGCGCACGAGATGATCTGCGCGTTCTTGAAGCGGCTTATATTTGAGGGGGCATGCAAGAAGTTTTGTGCACGAAAAGAAGAAATCGGCGCGCAAGCACAGAGATCTGCATGCTTGTAGGCTATTGCATAAATGCCATCTCGACTTTTAATACTGCGCTTACGTCATCAAAATAACGCCACAGGTTGGTGGATCTGTGTAAAAAACAAAAGGCCTGCCGCCACATCAGGAGAAAAATCCTAGAGGAAACACACTGTGGATAGGGATATATTTTTAAGAACCCTGAGATTCATGCTTCTTCATTTAAAGTTCACTACCCTCAAGCTAAAAATATAAAAGTTCCAAAAAGTTCATTAAAACCTTTACATCATAAAAAGCATCAAGTCAAGCAGTCAAATTCAAGTCTTCTGATAAAACACTATGACTTTTTATGGTGACTTGTGTAATGCCAAAAGACAGATTTCAAAATGGTCTATATACAGAGTGCAAGCATACAGTAAGTCTAGATTAGTAGTAACTTAGCTTCAGGATCATGAATATTTGTATAATTCTGTGTCTTCAATTAGAGGATCATTCAAAATGGATCTCTTTTACAGATTGAAATGGAGTCATTTTGATATGCTGACAACACAAATCAAACTTTTCCAGTCTCAGCTACAATTACAGTCTTTTTTATAGTCAAACTAGACGTTGTTCATACTGTAGGCATCCAATGAAGTGTAATTATGCCAATGAATAACAAACCTATGTATGTTTAACGACTCATTTCAGGTCTTTCAGAATCGGATTTGTTCTTTTGAAAGACTAACTAAATTTACCATTGCTCTTTGATGCTTCGTAGACATTTAACAATCAGAAACTACGTGAAAGGTGTTATTTGGAAAAAGAACAGAGGCGATTTAATGTTCCCTGGCCGATTTAAAACTTTTATATTACCGAGTACTGAAAGTCTATAGAGAGTTCCTCCAGTCAGGGTCTTTCTGGCTGACTGGTTTTCTTAGCTATTTAAAGTGATTGGCAGCTCTTTTTTCCATGAAAACTCATGAGAAGTCCACCCACACCTCAACCTGAAGCATTGTTTCTGAGATTGCATAAGTGATGACTCTCTCTCTCTTTGCATTAACCTGCTCATTTACCTGTCATGCATAGACACTTCCCCCTCAAAAAAAACTATAGGTTGTTTTCCATCATGTGGTTCTGGTGACAGATTATTTTTTTGCAATTTATACAAAACAGATATAAATAAAATAATAACCACATATGTTGGATATTATTCTTATATCACGAGGAGGGTTGAGTTTTCCACTGAACTAAAATATATTTGCCTGTCATCAAGGACGTACTGTACACTGTAAAAAATGGTCGTGATTTCAACGGTAAAAAACTGTAAAAATGCTAATCCGTAACCTGATAAACAGTATGTTTCCTTAATATATACGGTGAATAACCGTTAATTGACTTTCCCAGAATTCCCTGCATGGCACGTCACTTTTTAAGCATTTTGTTGACATTAATATGGATCTTTTTAGTTGTTTCCCCATCAGTTATGTACATTAGAGATTTATGTTACATCTAATGTTGATAAACAATGTTTATTTTATGACTTTAATTTTATGTGTGTTACCATACTGGTGTTTAGTAGCTGTGTGAATGACACTGTGCACTTTCTATATGCTGATACTCTTTTCTGCTTGTGGGAAAAGTTGATTGTGATGAGCATTGGCTCATTATGTAACTTTCATCACCACCTGAATGTGGGTGTGCTAACGTGTCTAACTGTGTAACAAAAGATGTGTAGATGTTGATCATTCAAAATACAGACATATTACCTCTATAAATTAATAAAATACGGTAATTAACCGTAAAAATTAAAAACTACTTTTACGGTTTGTACCGTGTTTTTAACTGTAAAGTACTGGCAACCACAGCTGCCGTTTTTTTACCGTAAATTTTACGGATTTGTTTTTTACAGTGTACATAAGCTATTACGTTACATGAAAAAACACTACAGTAAATACTATAGTGTTTTGGAAGCATACTATAGATCCTAATTAAACTGTCATAGCACTTATATGCTGTGGTACAACACAATTGTAGTATTAAGTTATTTAATAGGCTTCAGTTTAATAGGCTATAATTATATACTATCACAATGCAGCAGATTTTACACTACTGTTACAGTATTTATTACAATTCATCAGTTTACTATACTACAGTATTCTGAAGCATTAATTAACAATTATTAATTAATAAGAGTTGTACACATTATACACTTTACTATGTGCTTCAAAAACATGCTTATTATAAATTACTATAGTTTTTCCCCATGCGGATATCCTCCATCATGAAATAACAGATGAAAGCATGCAAAAGCGTGGACACATAGTCTACATTGTTATTTATTTATTTTTGTAAGAGGGGGAAAGTTCTCCACATTAATAATCATCTAGTTTTGTCACAAGGTTAGCATTTCATTTTTGTTCTGTCGATGAACTTACAATCAAAAAATATTCACCACTGCTGTGCATATAGACATTAACGTCACGGTTGTTTATTCAACCAAAACGCCAGTAAAGACATGGATTATTGCAAAAGAAATCTGAGATTTCACTACAGCGATTACATTGCAGGGCACATTATTTATTCTCCTGGATATTGAATAAGTGTGGTGGCGTTTGTTTAACACACTAACATTTAATACACATAGCTGGGGCCTGTATATAATATTTATTGTTGCTGTCAAACGAATTATCGCGTTCAAAAAAAAGTTTGTACGGTCCACATGGAAGTATTGAATAAATATTTATTACATGCTGCCTTTTCTTCCGTTTTTCAGCCAGTTTCTTGACCCCCCACCCCTTTATGAGCATAAACGTTTGGAAGTCTATAAAAGCTGTTCGGCATTTCTTATTTTAGCCGATTAAAACTTATAAACAACATAAAACTGAAACATTTTGATGTTCTGTTAGCGATTCCTATATAGTAGAATCACTTCCTGCCCTCCATCTGAACTTCCTGCCCTCCATCTGAACTTCCTGCCCTCCATCTGAACTTCCTGCCCTCCATCTGAACTTCCTGCCCTCCATCTGAACTTCCTGCCCTCCATCTGAATTTTGCATCAATGATTTTAATGACGTCATGTGAAAACAACCTACATATACAATGCTCAATATATATACAATGTACACCCCTCACGACTCTCTTATTTAAATTATTATTTGCTATGCTATGTTAGGGAAAAATAAAACATTCTAAAAAAAAAGTAAAACTGCAAAATGTAAAAAATTTTGTTGAAATTTTGTTTTGTTTTTTTCAATATTTCGTATGAATTTAAATGTATTATTTTTCTATTTCTGAATATGTTCCATGACTAAAATATTATTTTAATGAATATATCCGATAGATTAATAACATATAATCTATTTTGTTCAAATTCACCAAAATATAAAAGGTATATTTACTGAGAAATAGATAAAAATATGTACTCATTTATGTTGAGCAGCACTGTATATAAGAAACCTAAACGCTTATTTCTGATATTACTAAAAGCATTTATAACCAATTCTTGTGAATCCTAACACTTGTTGTTTTTCTGTGGTCATGCTGTATAAATGTTTTCTGACCAATACAGAAGCAACAGCAGCTTTGTTTCCTCACAAAACCTCAGACTTGCTGTTCATCTTTTTTTTCCTCAGCGTTCCCACATTCCAGGGCCTCCAAGAAGAAATCCTCAGCAAGCTGGCTGATGTGCTGGAGGAGGTGAGCCACTCTACTGTACTGTATAAATCATTGTGTGTTTTCTGAGAAGAGCCAGTCAGCTGACTAAAGCATAGTGATAAACAGTACTTCCTTACAGCAAAACATGGATTCCTGTCTTTGAAAGAAACAAGGTTGACCTTCGTTAAAAGAAAATGACTTTTTTTAAGTGTCACTGAGAAAAGGTTTAACAATTTCTGCTATTTTTGTCTTGTTATTTGATGGAAAATAAAGTGGGAATGTGATTGTGCTTTATGGGAATGGGCTGTCATTGCTGTATTGTTTCTAGTTCATTTATTTAAGTGCTAATATCAACTATGGTGGATCTCATTTGAGGATTATCAAATATTTTTGAAATCAAATCAGCTTATGACTTGTACAGAAGCAAATACAATCCTTAAAAATCTTTGCCGCTCATTCTAACCCGTTGTACTTTATCACAAACATATCTCAATGGAAACAATGAGCCTTTTTTCCCCAAATAATTATTTAGTATTTATTTTATATCTTAATATTTGTGTTATTTCAAGTAATTTAAGTTATTGAACTTTAATAAGTTGGCCTCTCTTTATTTTAATGTACAATTTACGCTATTAAATCATTAATCAATACGTTTAGTTCAACAAACTAAATATTAGATGCTTATTACTATTAAGGCTTTAGTTTTTAGTTAAGGTTTAGATACTGGGTAGGATTAGTGATGTAAAATATGATCATAATTTATAAGTTCTAATAACTAGTTATGATCTTAATAAAAGCAAGAAGGAAATTGTTACTTAAAGTGTTACCAATAATTTGATCATAATTTTAATTGAAATTATGGTCATATTATCAGATCAAATAAATTTAATGGTGATAAAAAAATTATTCAAAGTTATCTCAGTGATGATGTACTATTCACCATAAAATAAGGCCAGACAACTGGAAGGTCAGTGCCAGTTCACCAGGAATGTATTACTTCTCATTCATTCAAGATACATTATGCAGAAATTTTCTACTATGCAGCATCTGTAAATGCACCATGCAGTATATGTAAGAAATATGACAATTACTACAAGCAATATACCACATCGTCCACTGTCATAACAGTTCACATTAATAAAAATAATCTCTGGACCGCCTCTGTTCATCTTTAAGGCATGTTGTTCTGTGACAAATGTGAGATTTACTTTCATGTGTCATTGCTATATGAGGTTAATTAGTCTGGTGGGGGAAAGTAATGCACAGTAGACTTAATAATGTTTCTCAAAGACTCAAAAAATATTCTTATAAAAATTAAGTGCTGCCTTAAATACTGAAGTTGAATCAAAGTAAGCTTAATTAACCTTAAGGAATTTCAACTTGCATGAAACTAACTTAAAACATTAAGCTGAACCTTGTATCACTTTTAAATAAGTTCAAGAAACATACCAAAACATATTTTGTCATTATTTATTAATCATGTTTTAATTTTGCTTTGACATAATAAAATTAAGGTAATCATGTTTGACTTTTTTTTTTAGCTACAGTATATGACATTTAACTTGATGTGATGTGAATATAAAACCATCTTTACTTAAGTAAAGCAGGCTAGGCAGTATAGCGCTGTTTACTGATGTTTTGTTTTTAAAACTAATTAAAAACGATCTGTTAGCGATGCTGAACAAGGACCCTTATGAAACTAAACAGTCACATCAATCGTTTACAGAGATTTCAGTGGCTTAACAACACTTCTGTGCATATAACCCATTCGTAACAACCAGTTTTGCGTGACTAAAATAGTTTTAAAACACAGAAAATATGTCAGTGTACATTTTACACCACAGGTGTTGAATGTGACACTTTTCAGGTGAATAAATGTATGTATCGCCAAATCCCCGTTTTCATTAATAAAGAAAACGACTTTCAATCTTTCTTTGGATATTGGTTATTAACAAAATCTCTAATTTGCATGTGCTTCTTCCAATAAACCTGTGTAAAGATGATCCACTAGAAAGGGCACAACTTGTTAATTATGCAGATTCAGATGTAAGCTAATTTGACCGTTTATGTAGTTTCCCTTTAGGAGCAGAAGTGCTGATTTAGAGAGCAAATGTAGAAAATGAAACTGGGAATTTATTGGAAAATTAATGAAATTAACTGAGCAGCCTTGGGACGTCCTTGTTAATTAAAATTACATCAGTGTATTAAAAATGCTTTGTTTTTGAATGTTATACGCCTGAAGGCCATTCATAACTAGTGTTTACAATCTGCTGGGCTGACATAATACCATATCACAAATAGAATGTAGCTTTTCACAGCGTTTCCAAGCATGGTACAACATATTATTACAGAGCTGGCAGGGAAATTCCTCCCTGTTCATTTGTTTCTTCTTCTTTTTTTTTTCTTTTTTTTTTGCAATTAATTCACTATGAAACCTTTCAAGCCCCAGATGTGCTGTGTCTTTATTAACTCTGCGCTGAAATTAAAGACGAATTACCTAAACTGAGTTATTGTACATACACACAAAGTTTTGAATTATAGAGACTTCTTTTATGTTTAAAGACATGTCTCTTATGCCCAGCAAGGTTAATTTATTGATCCAAAATACAGCAAAGACATTTTCTTTTCCTTTTTTATTGTGATTTAAACTGTAATGTTTATGTAAAGCTGAGTTTTCATCATCAGTTATAATCTATAACTATTATCAAAAATGTCTGTTTTTCCTGCAAATATTTTCAAATATAATTTTTTTCAATCACAGTTTTAATCAGTTTATTATTTCATCAGTTTATATCAGTACATGTACGTATTTAATTAATTATAATTATAATAATTATTATTATTAAAATCGTATCCCAAATTTTCTGTGGTAATGTGTAACAGTTTTAACGCGCACAGTAAAATAAGCGGTTTGTTACTTTACTTTAAGAAAGTAAGTAAACCCGTTGCCAATAATTCCCATAATTGTAATAAGTAACCCAAACTGTCTTTCAACATATGTAGATTTGTACATCCGCGCACCCTATTCAAACAAACAGATGCACGCACATTCACATGTACACGAGAGAGTGACAGCAGTAAAATCAAATGCTGAATCAAAACTTTTTCAAATCCTGAATCAATATTGGTGGTTCATTCCGCTGTGGCGACCCCGGAATAATAAAGGGACCAAGCTTCTTTTGCACGCTGGAGGAAGGACGACACCATGCTGAAGTATTTCTTTTAGACAGGTAATGTTATGTGTTAAAACTATTTTAGTCGCGCAAAGCTGGTGTAGATTGTGTTGTGTTACGAATGGGTTATAATACACAAAATTGTCGTTCAGGTACTGAAATCTTCTGGCGAACAATTGACGTGACTATTTTCAGTTTAATAAGGGACCTTTAACAGCATCTATAAAGTAGATTTTTATTTAGTTTAACAACAAAACATAAGTAAATAGCGCTATTGCGCCTAGCTTGCTTTACTGAGGTGAAGTTGGTTTTATATTCACATTGTTTCCTTTTTGAACAATGACGACCTGTGACGCCCTCCCTATATTGTCTACTGCTACTCTGAGTATTTGGTCTGAAATAGCTGAAAACGAGCCAGAAAGTTTTTTGTTCAGAATAGGGTATATGCAAAAGGACTTTTAATTTTCAGTAACCTGTGTCAAACGCTTCGGGTAAACTATCCGCTTGTGGTGACGTGTTTGTGACGTATGTATACTGCTTCTGGGTCCAAGCCGCCATTCATTTGAGTGGAGAAATCATTCGTTTATGATCACGTTTTATTCCTATCAAACATTAAAGTTAATTTTATATAAAATCGTAGTGTACACAACAATCTCTGGGCTTGCTGCATAACAAATACCAAAAATTTAACAATTTCTAAAAAAAATGTATCACTTTCTGGCCATCGGATATTAGGCATGGACATATATACTGCAATCGTGATTTTCGAAAGCATTAAATCGCTTTGTAAACGTTTATTATTACCATTTCATGAGTCTCCCCATTCAGTTGAATAGAGCACTTGGACCCGGAAGCCGCTTCGCGTGATGTCACACTTAAGCGGATATGCCATTACAAAATCGCAGCGTTTTATGTCTGTTTTCTTTAAAAATCAACTATCTTCACTGCCTGATAGATATATGATATAAAGGGGGTCTCAGAATGCACAAGATGCGCCGCATTAAATTAAATTTTTCTGCACCATGTCTTTAAAATATCAACATTTATTTCATATTGGAGTTTCTGCACTAGCCTGCTGACCTTGACGGTGCATGTAAATAAATGCTGAAGTCTATTTAACTGATTATATTTTAATTTAATTAAAACATTGATGCAGTAAAAGAAAATGTATAAAAACTAAAGTCACATTAACCATTCACCGGCAGTTTATCGGTGTGGGAAGAAACACTATCTGTGCATGCTATACACCCTCTCGTTATGTTATAAAGTACTATTAAGTTTTCTAACTGGTGAATGACATGATCTAGTGGGTTGTCTACTGTCATCTTTAAGGTGTGTATTTGTGATATTAGGAGGCATGGCTTTGGACGGCAGGGGAGGGATTGTGTTTTTAAAGCTATTATGCTAACGGTTAGCATATTGGCAGATCACGTACTGCACTTTTAACTTATTTTTTATATTTATGCACAAATTTAATTTACTTAATAATTTAAAGGCAATGGGTTTACACTATAATAAATAATTAATGGCTTTAAAAGTAATGAGTTTACTCACTTTGAATTAGTAAAGCAAACTAATAGCTTTTAACAGTGCACAGACACAATAATTATTATGATAATATTAATAATAATGATGAAGCACCACTGTTTCAAATTTCATAGCAATGTTTCATGAACCACAGATCCTCATATTAAAATTATTTCCTAAGGATGGTGTGATTTTATATGTGCAGTAATAAATTATCTAAAATATTTTACAATAAAAAGCTTTTTCAATAAACTAATATCTCTAAAACTTACTTGCAAACTTTTCCATAAGAAAAAAAAAATCAGCATTTTAGCATTTTAGAAAGCACAGTGCTTTCTTTTT